AACCCTTGGCGGGAGCGCCGCCACACTCCCAAGCACCGCACTCTACCGAGTGCGCCACCGGCCGGCCCAAGTAATATCTTGAAAAAGGTTTTTTTTTCTTTTTGTATGAGACTATGTGACTAGGGACATATGTAAAATAGATTTTTTACTATGGGCTATGTTTTTTAAAAGTGTAAAAACTGCTGTTGTAAGGAGAAATCAACTCTGCCCTCAAGTTCTTATATTCTAATGAGTCAATAAAAGAATAAATGTATATGAACTAATTGAAGAACCTTTTGAAAACACTATAGAATAGGTCAGTTTATACCATTTTCTTCTGTTCGCAGGGAATGCAGAGATAGCTAGAGACCTGACTGGTAAGTTCGGGAGGACTTATCTCCCACAAAATCCTCATCAGCCACCTGTAATACACTTAGTTGTCCTGCTTGGGTTCAGGCATTTCTCAGATTTCAAGCTTTCAATAATAGGGAGGGAGTACATCCCTTTGAACCGGTCATTTAGAGCATCGGGTAGTGAACCCATGAACCTGGACAACTCTGAATATTATCTCTTCCTAATTTTCCACCATTTCTCCTTGCCCTAGGAGATATGCAGGCTGATTCAATTCCTAAAGGAATGACTAATGATCCTTGGACTCAAACCAGCATAGGGATAAATACTAGGAGTATATTCTTTATGGGTGTTTCTGTAAGCCATGAAAACATCCTGCCCAGGCAAAAGGTATAATGCTATTGCAAAACCATTGTCAAATTATAAGAAACCTCCGCATACCGGCCAGCCAAAAGAAAAAAAAAAGAAAAGAAAAGAAAAAGAAAAAAGAAATTATAAGGAACCCACACCCTGAGACAAGTCTGGATCTCGTTGAGAAATTGGGACGCTTGTCTTATAAAGCTTTGGGCTCCATTCTTTCTACTCATATCTGTTTTGTGGACTTCTTGGCCTGAGTTGCTGACCCTTGATGTTTATCATTCTTCTTTGTGCCTCGACTGTTCCTTTCCAGTTGCTCAGGCTGGATTTCTGCTCCCTGACACTTGATTTTCTGGGCCATACTTTGACTGTCTACCCATACTAAGCTACCTGCTTTTCCCTTCTGCCTTAGTGGATCCCTGGATTTGACCTCTTGCTTCCTTAACCCATGGTTCATTCATGCTGCTCTTTTCATCCTTTATTTTCTTCTCAGGATCTGACTTGTCCTCCTACCCTTAACTCTGACTCCTCTTGCCACTGTGTTCTCATTATTATTCAATTTCTGGGGATATTTTTCCCTGCCTCACCTTCATCTTACGTTCCTGATGTTGAGCTCCAAACTGACAAGAGGGTGATACAACCATTTGCCAGGTACCCTGCCTGCATTTATCACTTCCCAAGAGTCACTGGATGTCCTTACTGGGCTATGGCTGCTGCACAGTGCTCAGTTCTCATGGCCTATATTTCCTTTCCAACAGGAAGATTTTCAGACTTGAGTGCAACAAAGCTCCTCAATCTTCTCAACTGCCCTGGACCCAGTGCTTGGCATGGGAGGAAAATGGAACCAGAATGATTCTCCTTCCTAGCCATCCACATGAACACCAAGGAGAGCAAAGATATAGCAAGCCATTTTGTACATTTGGAGCAATTACTTAAACTGCCCCCACCAAGAACAGAATGTTTCAATGTCAAGCTGCCTGTGAACAGGCACCAGTGAGAGGGTTATTATAACAATCTGAGATGTGAGGACGAGAACTTGAACTAGAGAGATGGCAGTGAACAGATAAGAGAAAGCAAGAGATAGAAATGAGAGATTTTATTGAAAAAGAGCAACAGGACTTGGGGACTAAATGGAGAGAAGGATCAATGCATGCCAAGGCCATTTTTGGAAGTAATCAAGTTATCTCCAGCTGGAGATAGCCAGCTGGGTACCTACAACCAACTAATCTAAAACTTCACA